GTTTGAGTCCTTAGGAGCCCACAGAAGTCAATGGGAGTCCTTCGGAGCCCGTCGCACCTGATGCGTTTTGTGTATTTAAACGTGTATATATACATATCTATATATATGCATTATGTATGTGTATATATATATATATGTATACATGCGCTCATTTGCTTATCTGCATTTATGTAAGTACACATGCGTCTGTACATGTTCGTTCTATGTATTTTCGTACCAGCCAGTGCTTAATACATATACATATATGTATATATATATATATGATCTGTGGTGCTCCTAGACGCCAGGCCATGTAATGCTACACGCGTGTACACGTACATTTTTATATGCACACATACAGCATATCCAATACACCCTATTGGCATTCGGCCATTCCCGCCACCGCGCCTGGGTTATGTGGCAGAGGCCTCATGTATGTTCGTTGGGATCTCGTGGGGAGGCCTGCCGGGGCCTGTTGGACGCCGCTTTGGGGCTTCTAGGAAGCCGTTTTTTTGCCTATTGTACATTTCTCGGGGCGTCCCGAAGGCCTCTTGGGGCTTCTTGGGGACCTCTGGGGCATCCTCAAGTTTTTCTAGGGTTGAGAGGCTCGGAATTTCGGTTCGCGTTCCCTCTCTGGGCCCCCTCTTGGGGCTTCTTGGGGGCCTCTGGGACATCCTCAGGTGTTTCTTGGGTTGAGAGGCTCGGATTTTCGGTTCGCGTTCCCTCTCTGGGCCCCCTTTTTGGGGCTTCTTGGGGGCCTCGGGGGCATCCTCAGATTTTTCTTGGGTTGAGAGGCTCTGATCTTCGGTTCGCGTTCCCTCTCTGCCCCCTCTTGGGGCTTCTTGGGGGCCTCTGGGGCCTCTTGGGGCCTCTGGGGCTTCTTGGGGGCCTCTGGGGCCTCTGGGCTCCCTCTTGGGTCCGTATTGGGGCCTATTGGGCCGTCTTGGAGGGGCCTCTCGGGCCGTCTATGCGTAGTGTTGTTTGTTTTTTTTTCCTCTCGCGAGCTCCCCAGGAAACTTCACGGCGCTTGAGCGCCCGCCTCAACGGTCCTCTGCAGTGCTACCCACGCAAAGCCAGACCATTAGTTTCAACGCATGCTCGCAAGAGTGGCTGTAGCACTCGCGAGGTCCTCCCAGCGCTTCTGAAGCATGCGTGAGTCGGCTAATTGCGCCGCTGGCAAGGCCCGTAGCATCAAGCGCTCGATCACGCTGACCGTCATGGCATTGCCAGCGGCCGCCATCATCTGGTTCACCGAAACTTTTCCGATCTTGATCAGCTTCGGGTTGTGGGCCTGGAGGCGAAGGCATTCGTTCAAGCGGAGCCGGCGACCACGATTGGAAACGTAGTAACCTCCCGTCCTGCCACGGCTCGCCGTCAAGCACAAGGACTCGTCGTGACGCCAATTCATCTTGGTGCTGTCTATGTCTATGACGCACGCCTTCTTCGTCGGGTCCCAACTCAGCTTCTTGATGGCCTCAATTGCCTCGATCAAATTGTTGCAGGCCGTGGTCTGCGTCGCCTTCGGGGCAACCATTTTGAACGGCGTCTCCTTGGGGTCGAGGATCGTCTTCATTCCGCCATGCTTGTACTCGTGCGGCCACTCGAAGGTGCCATCGTCCACGGTCTTCAGGATCCCGATGAGATAGATCCTCTGCCGATGCTGCGGTACTCCACCAACCTTCGCTGAGTCCAGCATCTTTGTGTACACATTGTACCCGCCATCGTCTTTGAACCGCGTGATGAACGACTCGAGGAGAGAGCCATGCCTCGCCACTCAGCCATCTACGTTCTCGAGGAGAAACACACGGGGCCGTTTCGAGACAATCGTATCGATGCACCGATTGAACAGAGCCCCGTCCCCGCCGTGTCGCCCTGCACGACTGAATGTCTGGCAAGGTGGGCCAGCAATGTAGACGTCGATCGGGGAATCGATGGCGGAATCGTCCCTCTCGAGCATGTCCTTGAAGAAGTACACCGGCTTGAAGTTGTTTCCCAGGAACTTTTGCAAACTCTTGGAATTCTCGCTAGCAGCGACATGTACGATGTCCACACCCAAACCGGACAAAGCTTGGAGAGGCGCCTCGATGCCAGAACAGTCTGTCATCACGTAGAGGCTGTTGCGTTCTGTGGGCGCCTTGACCGGGGACTTCTTAGTGGTCGCTGGACGACAGCCACCGCCAGGCGTGGGTTGCTTCGCCACCATGGCTAGGTGGCACCGCCGCCTCGCACCAACAGAAAAGCTCGGAGAGCCCAGAGCCCGTGCTTGGGCCAAAACGGCTACGGAGGAGGAGGGGTGGAGGAGGATAGATAGATAGACCATTGAACTGAGTTTGTCTACTTGCGAAGGGCCAGCAAACGAGCAACGAGAATCTGCGTTCAACTTGCTATCGATATTGCTGGCCTGCAAGAAGAGGAAAGGGAGGAGTAGGAGGAGGAGGAGGGGAAGGAGGAGGAGGAGGAGGAGGAGGGGCCCGAACGACTCACACCAGATGAGTCGTTCGGGCCCCTCTGGACTTGGATGAAGACGAGAAGGGGGAGGAGGGGGAGGCGGAAGAGGAGGAGGAGGAGGAGGACGAGGAGGACAAGGAGGAGGAGTAGGAGGACGAGGAGGTGGACGAGGAGGTGGACGAGAAGGAGGAGGAGGAAGAAGCGGCGGAAGGGGAGGAGGAGGACGAGGAGGAGGAGGAGGAGGAGGATGGAAGACGACCCGGGGAAACGAGGGGCGCGAACCCAGGAAACGGGAGGCGCGAGCCCAGGAAACGCGGAAGGCGCGAGCCCAGGAACGCGCGAGCGACGACCCAGGGATTCCCGGAACGCGCGGCCCGGGGAAACCGTAAGCAGGGCCATCCTAATCCTCCTCCTGTCCTGCTCCTGTCCTCCTCCTCCTCCTCGTCCTCTTCCTCCTCGTCCTCCTGTTCCTCCTCCTCCTCCTCGTCCTCCTCCGCCTCCTCGCCCGCCCGCCCGCCCGCCCGCGGCGACGACCGCGACGACGACCGCTAAAACAAGAACGACAACGGCGAAGACCACGACACCACTAAATTCGAAGTCCGACGATGAAACGACGACGACGACAACGACGACGACGACGACGACGGCGACGGCGACGACGACGACTCCGACGACGACTCCGACGACGACGACGACGACGACGACGGCGACGACGGACTACGTCGACTCCGGCGCCGACTCCGACTCCGACCCCGACCCCGACGGCTCCGACGACGGCGACGACGACGGACGACGACGACCACGACGACGGAGCGACCAAATCTTTTGAACCAACTGTGTCAAAAGATGTGGTCCTTGGTGATGTCTTCGGCGGCGACGACGACGACGGACGACGACGACGACGGACGAACGACGACGACGACGACGACGGATATAGCGACCAACAATCTTTTTGTAACCGCTTGTTTGTCAAATATATTTGGTCCTTGGTGTGTTTTCGGCAGGCAGCGACGACGACGACAACGACGGCGACACGTGACGACGACGACGGACGAACGAGACGACGAGACGACGACACGGACTGACTGGACGACTGGCTACGACGACGGAGCGGCCAAATCCTTTTGAAATCCAGCTGTTTTTCAAAAAGATTGGTCAATTGGTGATGGTTCTTGGGCGGCGACGACGACGACTGAACGGACGACGCTACGACTGACGACGGAAGCGACCAAATCTTTTGAGCCAGCTGTTTCAAAAGATCTGGTCCTTGGTGATGCTTTCGGCGTTCCGAAAACACCCCCCCCCGGAACGACGGACGAACGACGACGACGACGGACGACGTGACGGCGACGGCGACGACGACGACGACTCCGACGCGACTTCCGCTCGACGTACGACGACGGCGACGATCGGACTACCGGCACTCCGGCCCGACTCCTACTCGACCCCGACCCGGACGGCTCCAGAGACGACGTCGACAGACGACGGGACGACGAACCGAGCCCTTTGCCATGGACAGCGTACCAATTGCGTTTGTATCCTTGCTGATGTTCTAAAGGATTTTGGTTCCTTGTGGTGAGGAGCGTTGCCTTCGGCGGCGACGGACGACGACGGACGACGACTGTTATCGCCAGAAGTCGACGGAGCCGACCAATCCTGTTGAACCCAGCTGTTTCAAAAGTATTTTGGTCTTGGTGGTGTTTTCCAGGCAGCAAAGCGACGACGACGCAGCGACGGCGACGACTACGACGGCGACGACGACGACGACGACGACGAAGACGACGACGACGACAACGGACGACGGACGACTGACGACGACGACGGAGCGACCAAATCTTTTGAACCAGCTGTTTCAAAAGATTTGGTCCTTGGTGATGCCTTGGGCGGCGACGGCGACGACGACGGACGACGACGACGACGACGGAGCGACCAAATCTTTTGAGCCAGCTGTTTCAAAAGATCTGATCCTTGGTGATTTCTTCGGCGTCGGCGACGACGACGACGACGACGACGACGACGGCGACGGCGACGACGACGACGACTCCGACGACGACTCCGACGACGACGACGACGGCGACGGCGGACTACGGCGACTCCGGCGCCGACTCCGACTCCGACCCCGACCCCGACGGCTCCGACGACGGCGGCGACGACGGACGACGACGACCACGACGACGGAGCGACCAAGTCTTTTGAACCAACTGTGTCAAAAGATTTGGTCCTTGGTGATTTCTTCGGCGGCGACGACGACGACGACGACGACGACGACGACGACGACGACGGAGCGACCAAATCTTTTGAACCAGCTGTTTCAAAAGATTTGGTCCTTGGTGGTGTTTTCGGCAGCAGCGACGACGACGACAACGACGGCGACGACGACGACGACGACGAAGACGACGACGACGACAACGGACGACGGACGACTGACGACGACGACGGAGCGGCCAAATCTTTTGAACCAGCTGTTTCAAAAGATTTGGTCCTTGGTGATGTCTTGGGCGGCGACGACGACGACGACGGACGACGACGACGACGGAGCGACCAAATCTTTTGAGCCAGCTGTTTCAAAAGATCTGGTCCTTGGTGATGTTTTCGGCGTCGACGACGACGACGACGACGACGACGACGGCGACGGCGACGACGACTCCGACGACGACTCCGACGACGACGACGGCGACGACGGACTACGGCGACTCCGGCGCCGACTCCGACTCCGACCCCGCCCCCGACGGCTCCGACGACGGCGGCGACGACGGACGACGACGACCACGACGACGGAGCGACCAAATCTTTTGAACCAACTGTGTCAAAAGATTTGGTCCTTGGTGATTTCTTCGGCGGCGGCGACGACGACGGACGACGACGACGACGACGACGACGACGACGACGGAGCGACCAAATCTTTTGAACCAGCTGTTTCAAAAGATTTGGTCCTTGGTGGTGTTTTCGGCAGCAGCGACGACGACGACGACGACGACGACGACGACGAAGACGACGACGACGACAACGGACGACGGACGACTGACGACGACGACGGAGCGACCAAATCGACCAAATCTTTTGAACCAGCTGTTTCAAAAGATTTGGTCCTTGGTGATGTCTTGGGCGGCGACGACGACGACGACGACGGACGACAACGACGACGACGGAGCGACCAAATCTTTTGAGCCAGCTGTTTCAAAAGATCTGGTCCTTGGTGATGTTTTCGGCGTCGACGACGACGACGACAATGGTGTGCTGCGATGAATCAAAGAATGTAATGCGCCATGCCGCGTTGACCTGTGCTGTGCTTTATTGCATCGATGGCCTCCAAGACCTGTCCTGCTCCTGTCCTCCTCCTCCTCGCCCTCTTCCTCCTCGTCGTCCTCCTCCTCCTCCTCGTCGTCCTCCTCCTCCTCTCCTCCTCATCTCGACGTGCGTGTCTGGGTTTCCCCTGTTGGCGTGGGTCGGGTGTCTCTGGGTCGTGGCTCTGGGTTCTCGGGTCCGTGTGTGCGTCGTTTCTCGGGTTCGGGTTTTTTTCGGTGCTGGGTTCGCGGTGTGGTTTCCCGGGTTTTGCGCGTTTCCCTGGGTCGAGTTTCTTCCAGGGGGAAGGGGAGGGGGAGGAAGAGGAGAAGGAGGAGGAGGGGGAGGAGGAGGAGGAGGAGGAGGAGGAGGAAGAGGAGTAGAGAGAAAAGAGGAGGAGAAAAGGAAGAGGCTAGATGTAGGAGGAGGAAAGTGAGAGGAGGAGGGAGAGGAGGGGACAATAAGAGGAGTTCGCGAAGCAGAGGGAAGGAAAGGAGAGAGGAGAGGGGGAGGAGAGGAGAATGAAGGATGGGAGGAGGAGGAGGAGGAGGGTGTTCCACGAATGGCCGGATGTGCGAGGGCGCGCCCTGCACCCAAGAGGGGGGATGCACCTCGGGGACAGCAACATTTCCAGTACACAACCGTGCCTTTGCTAAAACTACACATCGACCAGCCGACTGTGTTCCCCCATTCCCTTCCTTCCCTTCCTCATCCGGCAGACTCTGGAGGAGCGCACTGCTGACAGAAGGGAAGCGCAAAGTAAGGGAAAAGCACAATACGTCATGTTGCAATGCGTTCTTGCCGCCTACATGGCCCAACATTCTAACACATCCTCTTCATTTTCTACGTCCTGATCCTCCCTCCTCCCCCACCTCGCCCAGCGATCAGGGACAAGCCCCTCTTCGGCCGGAAGCCCAGTCTGCGGGAATTGTGGGCCCACCAGATCCACAGTTGAGCTAGCGCCACATACAGGCTCAAACCAAATTATCACATTCTTCATCATCCTCCTCCTCCTCCTACCTCCTCCTCCTCCTCCTCCTCCTCTTCCTC